CAGCTAAAGATACTACTGATAAACAACACTTAGAATAAATCATATGGCAAGTTCTTAAAATGCAGCTGGTTAGAAAACAATTTAAAATGAGAGAGAATTCTTTCAGTATAGTACTATTTGCAGGGATGAATACATCTTCAGTAGATGTAAGTGGACTACTTAGCAATTACTCCTTGTTATTTCTGTTCAACAAACTACTGCCATTAAATCAAATTGTGCCTTTAAATTAAAAAAGATAACCTAATTAGCTTAAAACTTATATTACAAATGGAAGTTCACAAACCTGGAAAGCTAAATTGGCATTTTCATGCATCCCAAAAATTTCTGGGTCATCACTCAAAGGAAGATTTTCAATATAGTCTTTAAAATCTTGCAAACCATCAGCCACTGGTGCAAAATATATACCTATTACATGGAAGTAAGAAAAACAGCAGAAAGATTTTATTTACATTAAATGGTACAGTATATGCATTATACACATGCATATGTTTAGTAATAGTACAGTACTACATATTATATAATATTAATTTAGGGTTACCATATTTTGAAAAGCAAAAAAGAGGACATATTTCCTGACTGACTACTTCAAACTACGTGAGCCTGCTGTGCAGGGAGAGCGGCCCCAAAACCAATAAAAAAATAAAAAAATACATAAACAAACAAGTGATCACTATGACAAATCTCATTTTAAATACCCCTACTATTTAAGCTATGAGAATTGCTACTATCTAGGAATATTCCTAACCTTCCAACCCCAAAAGAGAACATTTTCATCAGTTTTTTTTAAAAAAAACAGTCCAAAAGAGGATGGGCACCAAAAAAAAGAGGGGGGGGGGACATCTTGTAATCCTAATTCATTATATCTAATTTTGAACCATCCATGCCCGATAGTGCAGATTTTAAAAATCGGGGGGGGGGGGGGGAACAAGACAACGGTGCTTTTAAGACCAAGGTCTGCAGAAAATAACTCTGAAACTTATAAAAAACCCTGGAAAGTTCAACGGCCCCAAATAACATAAGCAATCTCTGTAGCTTTAAGAGCTAAATGCCCACTGAAATCTTGCAGGCTTGTATTATGAGTCCTCAGTGGCCATTTTGAAGTTTGCTAAACAACCCCCAACCAATACTGATAGGATTCCAAGCCTCAGTTAATATCAACATGGGGAGGGAGGCAGGGTGAAAGAGAGACTAAGAAAGGTAAAAGAGAGGAGGAAGAGAAAGTAAAACTGCAGGGGGGCAGCAGCAAAAAAAGGAAAACAAGATGAGGGAGAAACAGATAAAAGAAAGTGAGTGAGTGGGACAGGCAGAAGCTGTTAGGGGAGAAACAGAAAATGTAGGTAGGTAGGCGGGAGAGAGAGAAAGGAGAGAAGCTATAGGCACTGCCAGGGAGAGGAAAAGGGAGAAATGAGAAATGAGATTATCCCACCATGAGTTCTCACATCTCCCCCACTTGTTCATATAATATATATGAATCATAATTCTAAAACGATCCAGAAATAATAAGAAAAAAAATCACAACAAACGTTCTTTTCAAACCCACTTTGGGTGTAATATTTATCCAAAGGGAGTTATAGATATGTCAGAATAAGACTGTCTGAACTAACGGCAAGTTGATTTTTAAAAGTAGGACTAAATATTTATATTTTAGGATGTCTTAGCATTTCATAAGAACAAAATGTTTCGATACAAATGGAATTTTCCCTTTTGTTTTCTGTTGGAAAAAGCATCCTCGAAACAGAATTATTTGTTGCCTCAGGAAAGAGAGCAGATGATACACTTGCATGGAACATTGCTTAAATAGAACAAACCTCATCTGAAACGGAAAAAGTCAACGGGTTTTCATAAACTGACTTAAAACTCAGTAAAAATCAGTTCCTACCTCAAAGAAAGATACTGGCTCAGTATATGCTATGCCTGATTGGGTGTTTGACCCTATGGTTCCCTATATGGCTGCAAACCTTAATCCCAATCCCCCAAGACTGTCTCCAATGAAAGCCTACTAAAATTAACACTACTAGTCCAAACCCCCTATTTCTGAGTATGCAGCATGAGGACAGATCCTTATTAGTTTTTCCCTTGGGGGAGTTCTTAGCTGTTTGGCAACTGACTCTTAGTTTCAGTGTGCCGACAGCATAACTACCATGTTGGCATGGAGAAGGAAAGATTTGTACAGCAGAGATTACAAGTGTTGGAGAGAAATAATTTCTGCCTGACAGGGTTATGGAACGGCTAGTCTAGTAAGTGAAACCCAATTACCTTTCCATCTCTCATTCCCACCCACCCTCTACCTATCTGCAGGAGAAATACAATAAAACTGGTGACTTAGGTAGGTCTCTTGTCTTAAAACAATGTACGTGCACGCAAGAAAAGGCTGGTTGTGGTTGCTTCCAAAGCACAAACCACTTGGTGAAATATATGTGATCAAAAGGATCAAATCCTCTAAGAGGAATTGATCCTTTTGCTCTAATGTCTAATGAGAGGATTCAGATTCTAAAGTACTTATTTTGTTGACAGAGGCCGCAGAGAAGTGCTAAAGGGAGGAGTTTTCAGATATGGGTCTTATTTACGCTCTCAACTTTTATTGTGCAAGACCTAGGTTTAAGAACAGGGGGAGAAAAAGAAAAGGGGGGGGGAGCCTTTCTATCACACCTAAATTTCTCTGGCCCACTCACTCCTATTGTAGATAGTTTATAATCAATCAGGTTGCCTTCCGTGAGTCTTTGTATGCCTTTCTGATTCCAAACAATAAGAGCAACCTTTGTGCAAGCGACATCACAAGAATGAATGCCTCCAGAACCAAGCACTGAACAAGAATATTACACTTTTAACAAAGAACTGCTAAGACTTGCTTCCCTGGAGGGGGAATGAACAAAGAACATTTCTGGCTGAAAGCGAGTGTACCCAGCAGACACAATATGTGAACCGCTACAGGGAGTCTGGAGAAACACCAGCTGTGTTGAGTGGTCAGTTTTCATTTTTGCTGCAGGGAGGAGAATATTACAAAGGGTTAGAGACAGTGCTAGTTCACGTGATTTCCTACCACATGGGACCATGAAGTAGTATTCAAAGGTATGACTAAGAGTGAAAACACATCATGAGAATGGTCACACAATGCAGGTCTTGCTAGGCCATATCATTTCAGATGGCAGGTGGAGCAATTACATGGCTGAATGCTTCTTAATATTAAAACAAAAAAAGTAGGGAAAGGATGCAAGCCTAGCTTTATTCCTGATAAGTTTTGTAGAGGAGCATTTAAACCTGAGGCTATCTCAACACAATCTGTATCATCAGACCTGGTATAATGGTATGTTTTGAATCTAATGCATGTATATCTAATTTGGGGAACTACAGAAACTACCAAATCTGAGAATTTGAAACTGAAGGGACTTATTTTCAGTTTTGCAGCCAATTCCTCAAATGCACAAATGCAAAACGTATCAAATCTGCAAGAAACATTCTTTAACACTAGAAGTTAAGAATTCTGCATGGTTTTAGCACAGTGACCTGGAATTTTTTTTGAAAGAATGGTGGTAAAGCACTCTAGAAGTTCGTGGGAGAAAATGTTTTCAATCTGGATTCTGACTTGGTTATGATACAGAAACTGCCTTGGCTGCCCTGATAGAAAGTCTATACCACTTTGTAAAAAAGAAGCGTCTCCATTTTAAGATCTCTTGAACCTTTCTTTGGTATTCAGCATCATCAAACCAAGGTATTCTGGATTGCCTGGCAAGAATGGGCCTGCATGGTATGGTCCTATGTTGGTTTTGATCTTTCACAGAGGATAAATTCCATAAGGTCCTACTGTTCTGCTCCATGACTTTTGGTTTATGGGAATCCTCCAAGTTCCATCTTAACTCCTGAGGCTTTCTAAATAGATGTATGAGAGATCATCCAGAGATCTGGAACAAAGTGCCGTGAGACACACTTTCTTTCTTTTCATTTAGGTCTAGGCAGGTCACGAACATACAAAACATATAGCTTTGGAGGCAGTGAAGGACTGCCTAAGGGTGAATACATGAAACTTAATCCAGACAGACAAAAGTGTTCTGTTCTGGAAATAAATGGGATATATACAAAACATATAGCTTTGGAGGCAGTGAAGGACTGCCTAAGGGTGAATACATGAAACTTAATCCAGACAGACAAAAGTGTTCTGTTCTGGAAGTAAATGGGATATAAAAAGTGTCCTACCTTTTTTGGTTGGGGTTAGCCTCAAGAGCAGGTGTGCTGTTTGGGGGTACTCCTGAATGCGTGTCTATTAATAGACAGGTAGAGGAATCTACCAGAGGTGCCTTTTTCTGGCTTAGGCCTGATGTGGACATTGCTTAATAAAAGCTGACCTGGCCACTACCACATATACTGCAATAACTTCCAAACTAGACTACTGTAACACACTTTATACATGGGTCCCTTTAAAAAAGGCTGAGAAAATTTAGTTGGTGCAAAACCTGGAATACTAGGTAGTGCTAGAATACTAACTGGGACTCACTGCTTTACCAATCACATTGGGTTATGGGCTGTTTCTAGACCCAATTCAAGATACTGGCGTTGACCTGTAAAGTTCTAAAGAGCTTGGGTCTAAAGTACCTGAAGGACCAGCTCCACCTATTTCAGCCTGCCTGAGCCTTGACACTGATGGATGGGGCTTTCCTGTGGGAACCTGCATTGTAAGTTCAGATGGCAGGGAGTGGCAAAGGGCCTTTCCGGCTGTTGTCTTCAACTATATCAGGACTCCAAACCCGGCCATCTTTGGTTCAGTCTCCTGGGACATGTACCAGCTGGATCCCCCATTTCTTTTGGGTCTTCAGAGATGTGCTTGCCGGCCAAGCAGTCTGCTTCTCTTCACCGCAGACTTCGGAAGGTAGCTATAACCCCCCTCCCTCAATGCTTCACCCTCTTTTATCACTGATCTCTGAAGATCATTTCCCCTCTTTCTTTCCTAGGTCTCTGGTGTGTGTGTGTGATATTTCACTGATTAGCTGAATACATTTCATTTAAAAAAATTTCCTGTCTGTTGTCTGTGCTGCTCTGAGAGGGTTCTGACTCTGGTATAGTTGGAGTATGATCACTAGCTTGCGCACCTATTAAGCAAACGGTCTCTTAGCTAAATTCCCCCATCATAACTTAAACAGAGACCCCGTGTTGCGACTAACACCTCCCCCAAGAGGGGAGACTTGCGCCAGTGGATTAGAGACATGTTTATTTGTGAGGGTGTTTGAATTCTCTTTTATCAGAGCTTTACTGTTTCTTTGTTTTAAATTCATTGATATTTTTACTGCTCAAATTGATAAGTTCTACTGCTGTTGTAAGCTGCTTTGGGTCCCCATTGGGGATAAAATTGCTGTAATATCTAAATAAATAAATCTAAACAAACAAGAATGCGGCAATAGCTGCTAGTGGAATTT